TGGCCACGCGCCCGTACAAACGATGGGCATCCTGTTTGGGATGCCCCCGTTTCGCAGGATTCGGCGGCGCTTCGCGCTCTCGGGGTGGCGGCGGGCAGCGGTCCCGTGCGATGAAGGCCATAGGGCGGCCGCCAACGCAATCGATCTCGGTTGCCGATGTCTTGCGAATCATTGATCATCTAAAGCGCCCCATTCGATCGGGCGCCTCATTCTAGCAAGTTGCGTTTTTTCTTTTTCTGCTCTTGCGAACAGCAATGGCTCTCGAATTGGCGCTCGTCAGCGACGTCGGCCCCGGCGCCGCCTAGCAGCCGCGCGCGGCGCGGCGCAAGCTCAGCGCCGGACAGGGCAACCGAGCGGCTGCTGGCCAGGACTGCGAGGCAGCCAAAACAATTTCAAGACCTCCTCTCAGGCAAAACAAGTGCAAATCTGGTCAGGAACGCTTTGACATGCAAAAAAACTGCGTCGCAGGCTTGCTGCAAACCTGATGGGGGCGGCTTCGCCGACGAATATTCACGTTCATCTTGCCCAGGCCTTTGGGTCGCCGCGCGTCGATGGCGAGAGCGACCGCGACTGCGAGAGCGACGACGACGACGACAGCCTCGGCGGCGCGCCCGCTCGGTCGCGCGCGAAGAAGCCCGCTGCTTTTCACGGTCCGGGAAGGCTCGCACGGCGCGGGGGATTGCGAACAAAAGCCAGCTGCAAACAAGGATGAACCGCGCGTGCCCGACGCGCGGCACTGCCAAAAGATTCGGGGGCCTCGCGGCGATCACCTCGCCATCCAGTGCACCCCGAAGGCCGCGCGCGCGGCCTCTCCCATGCAGCTCGCGAAGACGCTCGCTGCCAATGGGCATCTCCAAGATTGGCGCGGCAAGGTCTGCCCATGGCGCGCGGACGGGCGCGCGGGCCCCGCGAGATAAACGTTCCAGGCAGAGGCCCGCGCCACTGCTGCGGAACGACAGGGCGTCGACAGTTCGCACTGCTCCATCGCAGCCGCCCTGCGCGCTCGACGGCGCAGGGGCAGTCCGCGCCTTCTCTTGCTGATGAAATCGCGACGCGCCACTGTGCGACATGGGGCGCTGCGCGGACCAAGTGCCACTGGAGCGCGGGGAACAGCCGCGAGATCAAAGGGCCCGCGCGCGCCCGCCTCGACGGCGCCGGGACGCGATGCGCCCGGCGCTGTGCGCGGCCAGGCGCGGGGGCGGAGGACAAGCCAGCGCGGCGGGAACCGCGGGGGTGGCAGATCGAACGCGGGGGGCCAGAGGCTTTGGCATTAAACCGTCTCGACCCACGCAATGCTAGGAGGCGCGCGCGTGGGCCTGGGCCAATTCGAAAGCGCGATTGGATGCCCATCGCCCAGCGGCACCTCGTCGGGCGACGGGCGGCGCTGCGCGCGGACGGGGCGCTCTTGCAAGACCAAGGCGCCGGGCGTCCTGCGCGATAGCGTCGCCCACGCGAAGGGAAAAAGTCTCGCGGCGGGGGGGCGCGCTCTGGCTCGGGCCGGAATTATCCGAGGCGGCGGGTCGCGAAGTGCCGCGCGGAGCAGAGCTGCGCGCCGAGTCTGGGGCGCAGATCATTGACCGCTTCTGGTCGCATTTGCGGAGGCAGCTCCAGCCCCGCGCGCGCAGGGTCGGCGCGCTCGCCGCCGCGCGCCGCGCTCGGTCGGCGCAGTGGATTTCCTAGAATAATAGGCGCGATCTCTGGTCGAGGTCTGGCGACGCGCGCAAGGCGCCCCATTGGGCCCGAGAGCCCATCATGTTCTTTTTCTTCTGGGATGGCCCGCGCGACCGCGAGGTAGAAAGAGAGAGAGGGAGAGAGGGAGAGAAAGAGAGAGAGAGAGAGAGAGAGAGAGAGAGAGAGAGACAAAAAAAGAAAGAAAGAAAGAGAGAGAGAGAGAGAGAAAGAGAAAGAGAGCGAGAGAGAGAGAGAGAGAGAGAGAGAGAGCGAGAGAGAGAGAGAGGGAGAGAACAAATAAGGCAATCGGGAGAGAGAGAGAGAGAGAGAGAAAGAGAGAGAGAGAGAGAGAAAGAGATAGATATCGATAATGAGAGAGGAGGCACAACAACATAAGGAAATGCATGCAAAGAGAGAGAGAGAGAGGGCGATATATATATATATATATATATGCGTCTAGAGGGAGAGAGAGATAACATCAAAACACTATAACTACATACGTGAGAGAGAGAGGCACGGATAGAGAGAGAGAGAGATACAGAGCGAGAGAGAGAGTGAATAGAGAGAGCGAGAGAGACAGAGAGAGAGAGACAAAGCAATGTTGCATATATGTATATACATATATATAGCATAACACCGAATATAGAATCCACCGAGACGAACGAAAAGGGGGAGAGCGTCAGCGATAGCGCGCGAGAGAGAGAGAGGAAGAGAGAGAGAGAGACAGGAAACACTGAACGAGAGAGAGAGAGGGAGAGAGAGAGAGGGAGAGAGAGAGAGAGGGAGACGGAGAAACACACAAACAGACAAGAAAGAGTACTTGGGTTGAAAAAAATACAAACAACCAGCGAGAGAGAGAGAGGGGAAGGGAGAGAGAGAGAGGGGGGGGCACATATAGGAGAGACGGAAAGAGAGCGAGAGAGAGAGAGAGATAGAGAGAGAGAGAGAAAAAACAAAAAGAGAGAGGAAGAGAGAGAGAGAGAGAGAGACAACAAAAGAGAGAGAGAGAGAGAGGGAGAGAGAGCGAGACAAAACAAAAACATTGAAACACATGCTTGTTTTTATAAAGAACAACTAGCCTTAGCGCCGCGTGCGTTCAATTTAAACAATTGCAAGAGCTGCACGGGGTCCCACGGTCGGCGTAGCAATAATCATTTTTGTTGGAAGAATTCAGGGTTATGGGGGTGCAAGAGATGCGTTGGTTCGCGGTGTTGGAATCCCAGGAATGGTGTTCGGGCGTGGTTCAAGATCGTCAAGGCGCAACAGCCAGGTTGATCCGTGGCGTTGGAAACCCGGGAATATTTGTTGGGGCATGCTTAAGGCTCGTCAAACGAGTGTCTTCCAACGAGGCAGCTCCCTCAGTGGAAATGAAACGTTGTAGGTTCATCTGAAGGGGGAGCTTGGAGGGAGGGTGTATTCCAACATCGTTGATGACTCTTGGGTTCCCATTGGTCCTCATCCTCCACCTCTTCCCCTTTTCCTCCTCATCCTCATCCTCCTCCTCCTTTCCTACTCGTGTAGTTTCTGTTTCTGTTTATTGTTACGTGTGTCCCAGTGTGCCGGGGTATTTGGCTATGGGCCATGGCTATATAGTGATATCGTTGGCTCTTTCTGTTTGTTTCGCTCTCTCTCTCTCTCTTTCTCGCTCTCTTTCTCGCTTTCTCTCTCTCTCTCACGCTTTCTCTCTTTCTCTTTCTGTTCTCTTCATGTATCTCTCGTTGTCGACCTCTCGTCTTCATTCATCATTTCCGTGTTCATATGTCTCTCTTTCTCGCTCGTTGCCAATATTTCTGCGACCCCTTGATATGCATGTATGTATGTACGTCTCTGTATATTTCTCTTTTACATATATTTCTCTTTTACATGTCTTTCCCTCTGTCTCTCTCTCTCTCTCTCGTTGTTTCTGCCTGCCTCTTGTATTGCGCGTTCTTGTATCAGCCTCTCTGCTTCCTCTCGGGGGGGCGCACCTGTGAGCTTTGTCCCGGGGGCACTGGGGGCGGTCATGTGTAGCGAGGAAGGGCTGGATCTGCAGCGATCGGCCGTCGCTTCGGCTACTCCCCGGCCGCAACACGAACCGTCCCGGCCAGTGCCCCATGGACGCGGCAATCCTGGACCGAACTCAGGAGGGAAAGAAACACACAGACACAATTAATCTTCGATTCCCCCGAAAATATGGGAAAATATGGGAAGTGGGGGGGAAGACAGAAACCCAGAAAATATGGGAAAATGTGGGGAATATGTTTATTTGTGTGTCTTTATTTGTGTGTCCTGGGGCCCCTTCACGAGCGAGCTCCAGACCTCAAACCCCGAAGCTCGAGGTCGACCGAGCCCCCCCCCTTCCTCGGCCCAGCCTCGATCGATCGACCGAACCCCCCCCCAGCCTCGGTCCATCGACCGATCGAGCACGGTCGATCGATCGGTCGATCGAGCCGGTCGCTCCCCCCCCCCGGCTCTCCCTCTCTCTCTCTCTTTTTCCCTCTCCCTCTTAATGTTGTGGAGGACGATCCATGGAGAGGAGGCACGTTGCCAAACAGTGTCCAGATGTCGAAAACATGTGCTACGCATGGTTTAAACCATGTGAAGCACATGTTCTAACTTTTCTTTCCTACATTGCAAGCACAGCTTTACACTCGATGCTGGGACTGTCAGGGTGCCCACTGTCGTCGGCGTCCACAGTCCTACTGTACATCGACAAAATGTTGCACCACGTGTGCTGGGCATTGGCACCTGTACTGCACTGCTCTTGCCCCCCCCTTTCCCCCCGATCTTAATATTGGGTGCATGGCGAAGAGTCCCTGTTCCGCCCGGGGGCTCCCGACAAAATGTTGCACCACCGAGCTGTTTCGACCAGCCCGGGTCCGAACCCAATATTAAGATCGGGGGGGAGGGGGGGGGGAACACACGATTGATGCGACAGCGATGCGATTTATTTCCAGCGCCAGGTGGTGCACCATTTTGGCGATGTGCCGTGATGGCATGAGCTCCTCACGGGTGCTGCCGTTGGCCCCCTCCTGTGGGCACCGCCTGGCACCGCAGGAGGGGGCCCTTCCGGGAACGGGCGCCGATCGCCGTTGGCGGGGCCGACGGGCGGCGAGGTACGAGGGGGGGAGAGCACCGCAGGAGGGGGCCATCCCGACAACGGACGCCGCTCGCCGCCGGAGGGGCCGAGGGTCGACGAGGGAGGAGGAGGAGGAGGAGGAGGAGGAGGAGGAGGAGGAGGAGGAGGAGGAGGAGGAGGAGGAGGAGGAGGGGGCCCGAAAGAGGAGGTCGAAAGGGGGGGGGGGGGACGGCGGGCCGGGCGAGGACCCCCCAGCCGCTCCCCCTCTCCAGGAGGGGCGCCGCCGCCCGCCTCCTGGCCGCGGCCGCGTCCCCGGCCGCCATCGAGGTGAAGGCCACGGCGCTGGCGTGCCTGCGCGGGCTGCTGCTGGAGATGGAAGAAACGATAGCGTTCAGGCGGGCGCGCCCCTCTACAGGAGGCATACTTCAAGGTAGTGAAACAAATAGTGTGGGGACGATTTGTATATCGTTTTGTTGAATAGTTTGAGCATTTGTTTTGACTACTTTCCCACTGTTCTTCCAGGATCCGCCTGTTGGGGGACACGCCCGACTTAAAAATAGCGGCATGAGCATACGGTCGGGCCGCATTTGGGCAGCCTTTGGCCCTTCCTCCTGCTTCTCCTCGCATGTCATGTTCCTCCTCCTCATCCTCGTTCTCCTCGTCCCCCTTGTGAGGGGTCGAAGCTGGTCCAACTCCAGTCCAAATCTGGTCCCAAATGTGTTCCAGGTCTAGCCCAAATCAGGCCCAAATCGGACAGCGGCAGGGGCCACGCAGGCTCTTATGAAACGGACACCAAAGATAGCGTGAAGTCGGGCGCGTCCCTCTACAGGAGGCATACTTCAAGATAGTCAAACAAAAATAGTACGGGGACGATGTGTCCTATTATTTTGTGGAATATGTTGAGCATCTGTGTTGGCTATTTGTTCCCATTGCTCTTCCAGGATCCGCCTGTAGGGGGGCACGCGCGACCTAAAAATAGCGGCATGACCATACAGTCGGGTTGGATCAGGAGGGGAAAAAGCACACAGGCACAACTAATCGTCGATTCCCCCGAAAATATAGGAAATATGGGAAGTGAGGGGGGGAAAACAAAAACCAAGAAGATATGGGGAATCCTGTTATTTGTATGTATTTATGTGTGTGCCCCGAGGCCCCTGCATTGGAGCCGTCTACGGGTCCGAGGTGGCCCAGCACTGGTTCTGGCCAGCGGGAGCGGCGGGGAGGCTCGAGGCGCTGGGTTCGGGAAGGCTGTTTCCCCCAAGCATCCTGTGGTGCTGGCGCCCCCGCGCCCTCCTCTCCTCCTGCTCGCCCTCCCTCCCTCCTCCCCCCTCCCATCCCTGCCATCGCCCTCCTCGCCCTCGCCCTCCTCCGCCTCCTCCTCGCCCTCGCCCTCCTCCGCCTCCTCCTCGCCCTCCTCCCTCCCTCTCCCCTCCTCCTCGCCCTCTTCCCTCGTCCTCCCCCCCCCTCCTCCCCCTCGCCCTCCTTCCCTCCCCTTCCGCATGCCAATAATCTGTTTGGTACACCCCCCACACGAATCGTGGCTCCACAGGGAGCTGCACCGAAGGCCCCAGCGGAAAATGTCGCATGCAGTCCCCGCATACTTCGGCACACTCGTCGCACGTTTCGTGGCCCCATAGGGAGCTCCACCGAAGGTCCCAGCGGCAAAGATTGCATGCGGCTCCCCGCCCATGTCGGCACACCCCTCACACGCTTCGCGGCCCCCACAGGGATCTCCACCGACGGCCTCCGTGACAAAGTCCACATGCGATTACCCGCCCGTGTGTGCATGCCCCTCAGACGCTTCGTGGCTCCATAAGGGGCCCCACCCGGAGGCCCCGGTGGCGAAGTCCACATGCGGTTCCCTGCCCCTTTCGGCACACCGCTCACACGCTTCGCGGCCCCATAGGGAGCTCCACCGAAGGCTCCAGTGGCACAGTCCACATGTGGTTCCCCGCCCAGTTCGGCACACCCCTCACCGCCTTGCGGCCCCATAGGGCGCTCCACCGCCCGCCCCAGTGACAAAGCTCGCATGCGGTTCCCCGCCCCTTTTGGCACACCCCTGAAACGCTTCGCGGTCCCATAATGGCGCTCCACCAAAGGCCCCAGCGGCAAAGTCCACATGCGGTTCGCCGCCCATTTCGGCACACCCCTCGCACGCTTCGTGGCCCCATAGGGGCCCCCACCAAAGGTCCCAGTGGCAAAGTCCACATGCGGCTCCCCGCTCATTTCGGCACACCCCCCGCACGTGTCGTGGCCCCGCAGGGAGCCTCACTGAAGGTCCTTGTGGCAAAGTTTGCATGCGGTTCCCCCTTTCATATCGGCACACCCCTCACACGCTTCGCGGCTCCATAAGGAGCTCCGCCGAACGTCCCAGCGGCAGCGTCCATATGCAGTTCCCCGCCCAGTTCGGCACACCCTTCACACGTGTCGTGGCCCCATAAGGAGCTCCACCAGAGACCTCAGTGGCATGGTCCATATGTGGGTCCACTCCGATGTGGGCACACCCCTCACACACTTCGTGGCCCCATAGGTAGCTCCACCGAAAGCGGTAGCCACAACACGGCACTCACAACTGCACATGGGTGGGTCTTTCGCCAAAATGATGCCTTTTTCGGTCTGCGGGGGCCGCTTCTGGGTCCCCAGCTGATGACATCTTGACCGGCGATGAGAAATCACACCAGGTTGACCCCGGGGGGGGGGCTCCCGGGACCGATACTGAGCGGATGTGGCTTACTCGTCCCCTCCTGACCGATGATGGGGCCCACGCCAGCTCAGACCCCCCAGCCGCCTCCGGCGTGGCGTATGCTCGGGAGCTTTGGCTCCGCGTCATCGCGCCGCCGGCTCTGGCCCACCACGACTCGGCGCGACACGCTGTCCGCCTACCAGACCCCCCAAGCGCCTACGCCCCGAGCATTCCCGAGCTCTCCGCCCCGCGGAGCGGAGCGACACGTCATCCGCCCCAAGGGCATAGCTCGTCGCCGGGGCCGCCGCGGCGCCACGCCACGCAAGAGCTCCAGACCGTAAACTGTCAGAGGCCCTCGCGGACATCTGGGATCGGCGCTGGGCCCCCCAGCGGCGCCTCCGGCGCCGCCTCCCCTGGCGCGCTCCGCGCGCCAGGTGCAGGGGCCCGGTGCCGACCGAAAAGATCCGAGCGGGCCTCCGACAGCTGATGCTTGTGCCGTCGCCTCTGCTTCCAGGAGAGCGGGGACGCCGCTCCGGAGCACCTGGAGGAGCACGAGAATTTCCGCCGCTTCTTCTCGGAGTACCACAAGCTCGTCACCGACGAGGTCCTGCTCGTTCAGCGGCAGGCCCAGGACCTCTTGGCCCACGTGCTCCTCAGCCCCCAGTTCTGTGCGGTGAGGACGACGTACACTTCCAGCGCGCTGTGCCTGAAGCTGCAGATGTCGCTCCTGCAGCACCCCGTCGCTTCGGTCCGGCTGGGGGCGTTCCACGTCTTCAAGATCTTCGTCGCAAACCCCTACAAGAAGCGCAATGTCCAGGCGCTGCTGTACAGGAACAGGGAGCAGCTCGCCCACATCCTGCGCGGGCTCCGTGCCCTCAAGGAGGTCGACGACAGCTGCAGCGCCGACCTCGCGGCGGTCTCTGCCGCGCTGCTCGACCTGGCCGCCCCACCCAGCGTCTTCCGAGCAGGCCGGCCGGCCGGGCTCCGCTGAGCGGAAGGAAGGACTGCGCTCAGGTCGGGCATGTCCCCCTACAGGCGGATTTGAGACGAACAGTTAAACATAGTCACGACACAAAAGCAAAAAACCTGAAATCTTCAAAAATGGTCAAAACATCGTCCCCTGATTTTTTGTTTGTTTTGAATCGTCCTCCTGCAGAGGGACAGGCCCGACTCACGACTGCGCCGTGAGTCCGTGCCGCCGGCGCTGCGCAGCGCGCCCGCGAGCAAGCGCGCCTCGGCGGCCTCGCCTGCCCTCGCGAGTTGGAAGCGTATCCGTGTCCCTGTGTCTGGCATCACCTTACCTCGGTGCCGACCTCAAGGTTGTGGAGGACGATCCATGGAGAGGAAGCATGCTGCCAAATAACTTCCAGATGTCTAAAGCATGCTCAGAACATGTTCCCGACAGGTTTAACACATGTTACATTCAAGGATAGGACTGTTAGGGTGCCCGTTGTCGTGGCATCCACAATCATGAGGGCTCCCGCAGCTTCTGAGGGCACCTCCCCGAGATTGTCATCGTTGTGGGCTTGCCGAGCCCAGGGATGGGGATCCGCCCGAGCCTGCTTGCGCCCTCCGAGGAGCTCGGGCGGCGGCGGCGGCCATCCTTGCCGGCCCGCCGTGCGCCCCTCGCAGGGGGCCCCAGACAGGTGCGCAGGTGCACCCTAATACCTCCCCCCGCGGGCGCCGTGTGCGCCGCGGGGGCTCTGCGTCTCTCGGGAGGGACAAAAAACACAGAGACACAATGAATCGTCCCCTCCCAGGAAACTATGGGAAAATAGGGGAAGGGGGGGGGGAAGACAGAAGCCCAGAACATATGGGAAAATAGGGGGCATCTTTTTATTTGTGTGTGCTTATGTGTGTGTGTGTGTGTGTGTGTGTGTGTGTGTGTGTGTGTGTGTGTGTGTGTGTGTGTGTGTGTGTGTGTGTGTGTGTGTGTGTGTGTGTGTGTGTGTGTGTGTGTGTGTGTGTGTGTGTGTGTGTGTGTGTGTGTGTGTGTGTGTGTGTGTGTGTGTGTGTGTGTGTGTGTGTGTGTGTGTGGGCCCCCTCATTCTCGTTCCGGGCCGAATGCCACCGTGCCGCACCGCGGCGCCAGGCGCCAGCCTGACAGTACTTGAGACGCCAGCCCCGGCCGACAAGCGTTCACACAGGAGAGCAGCAGCGCTGCGGTGGGGGTCGTTGGGAAAGTCAGCCACGCGCAGAGGAGGGTGGGGGGAGGGGGGAGGGCTTCTTAGAAGCATCCCTGCTTCTTAGAAGGCGCGGGCCTTCTCTATAGATGTAAGGCCGGCGCCTTCTTAGAAGCAGCCTCCTTCTAAGAAGCCATCCCCCCTTTTCCCTACACCCTCGTGCGCGCCGCCAAGAAAGGATCGGCGGCCAGCGGAGGGGGGAAGTGAGACGAAGGAGACTCTCTCAGAAGGCGGCGGGCCCTCTCAGGAGCCCTCGAGCCTTCTGAAAAGTGTCATGTGGCTCCGGGGTGGGCTTAGAAAGCTTTTCAGGCGGCCAGGGGCCCGCTCCCTCGCTCCGGAGTGGGCTGACGAGGCCCGCTCCCTCGTACTTCCCCCTCTCCCGCCGGGCCAGCCGCCCAAAGGAATGTGCACTGGAGGCTTCCGACGCCGGGGAGTTCCTCATCTGATCATGGCGGCGGCGATCTTTATGTCGGGCGTGTCCCCCACATAGGGGGATTTTCGACGAAATATTAAAAATACCCCAAAAACACCCCAAGAAGGTCCAAAAATACACGAAACATAATACCCAAACTATTTGTTTTTATGTTTTTCCATTATTTTGAGGGTATTTTTGATTTCTTGTCGATGTAGGGGGACAGGTCCGATTTAAGGCGATCTCCACAGCCAAGCCTCAGATGAAGTTCCACCGGCTTCCAGACCCTGGCTTCCTCATCCAAGGATTCCTCGCCCAGTGCCCCGACCGTCTTGGCCGCACTCACGCACGGGGAGGTTGGTGGGGGAGGGGAGCCTGGAGGGGGGAGGGGGGGGGAAGGGAGCCCCCAAGGGGGAGGGGGGGGGAGCCTCGAAGGGGGAGAGGGGAGGGGAGGGGAGTGGGCAGGGGAGGGTAGCCTCGAAGTGGGGAGGGGGGGAGGGGAGGGGAGCCTCGAAGGGGGGATGGGGGGAGGGGGGGAGGGAAGAAGGGGCAGGGGGGGGCGCTGCTGTGCGCCAGGCAGCGGCCTCTTTGTACAGCCACGCCCGCCGCAGGGCCCGCACAGGCCGCCCCATCCGCCCATCCGTCGGCGACGCCGCTGAGGGCGCATAGCCCAGGGGCGGACACTACACTTTAAGTCGGGCGTGTTCCTCTACAGGAGGAGCATTCAACAGCAATCCCTAAACAGTCAGGGGATGTTTTTTTCGATCATGGTTTGAACCTGTGTTAACCTTTTGCTGGATGTGTTTGATTCGTTTCGTCCAGGATTTGCCTGCAGGGGGGGCATGCCCGACTTACCACTGCACGTATCCGCCCAGGAGCCTCGCTGAAGTCATGGACCGTCCGAGCCCCCGGATACAAATATATTGCCCTCCCCATGTGAACTACACTCGGGGCCCTGAAGAAGGAACCCTTTTCGTTGGGGAGGGGCTCCGCGTTCCTTAAGTGTTTCGCAGCTTGCCTCGGGTTTTCCTGAGGCTTTCCATCGGAAATCGAAGTTTAACTTACGGAGAAAAAGGGGCCTCGTTCCTTATTTAGGGTTCCTTAGGTCAACGCCCCGACTGTATTCGCACCCATCGTCGGCCCCGAATCCAATTTGCAGGCGCCTTTCTTCCCAGAGATCCGACGTCGTGATTTTTGTTGCAGTACGGGGCCCCCAGAAGTCTCGACCCGCCCCCCAGGACCGGTGTCTTCCTCCTGAGTCTCTGTTCGACGGCCCCGTGGCCCGGCGAGGGCCCCCAGAGAGGCCGAAACTTGCGAGAAACCTCCGCCTTGCTTGTCTCACGACGTTGCCTCTCTGGGCCTCTCCCAACGCGGAGGCTGCGCAGGCAGCGGGCACCTTTGTGTACAGCTCGCAGCGCGGCGCCGGCCGCGGGCGCGAGCGCGCCCCGGCCGCGCGCGGCCTCGCGGGCTGCGTGCTTGTGCGTCCTGTGCTGCCTAATACCAGGGGGTAAAGAAACACACACACACACACACACACACACACGCACGCACGCACGCACGCACACACACACACACACACACACACACACAGACACAATTAATCGTCGACCCCCCAGGAAGATGTGGGAAAATATGGGAACTAGGCGGGAAGACAACACCCAGAACATATGGGAAAATATGGGGAATCTTTTTCTTTGTGTGTATTGATTTGTGTGTCCCAGAGCCCCTTCATCATACACGTAGGTACACCCCTCGTTGGGCGGGGCGCGCTGGCCAGCGGGAGCCCGCTGTATGTCTGGGAGGCGCAAGGCTCGAGCTCTCAGGGGCAACGATACGGGGGGGGGGGGGGGGGCACACTCCAGATTTCGTAATAAATGGGAGGGGGTCTGGACCCTCCAAGACAAGCCATTTCAGACCCCCCCCGTGTGAGAGAACCCTCCCAAAACGTCGCCCCCAGACCCCCCCCAGGCCCTCCAGGATGGCCTGGAAGAGACCCCCCCCCGAAATGAGACCCCCCTCCCTTTATCACGAGATCTGGAGTACGGTAGGTTTGCGTCGTGTCGACCAGCGGCGACCCCGACGCCGGCGTTCAACATTGAATGCCGGCGGAGGCCCAGAATCGGTCGATGTTGAACGATCGGACGTTCCGGAAATGGCCGATCGTTCAAGGTTGAACGATCCTCGCGGCGTCAGGGACCAACGCCCAGGTCGACACGGCACGGACCTGCCGTAGGCATAGGGGGGGGGGTGCGTCGACGCTCAATCGCCCACGGGTCGCCGAGAGGGCCCCGATAGCCCCAGCCTGCCCCGGAGGGTGCGGCTTCGCTGCCGGGGGGGCCCACCTCCGATCTATCATCGGCGACGCGCCGCCGAGTCCGGGCCGATGCCTCCCCCCTGCCAGGCAGGCCCAGGCCCACACCCCCCTCGAGTCAGGAGGAGGGGGAGGAGGAGGAGGAGGAGGGGGAGGAGGAGGAGGAGGAGGAGGATGAGGAGGAGGAGGAGGAGGAGGGAGGAAGGAGGAGGGAGGAGGAGGAGGAGGAGGAGAGGAGGAGGAGGAGGAGGAGAGGAAGGGAGGAGGAGGAGGAGGAGGGAGGATGAGGAGGAGGAGGAGGAGGAGGAGGAGGAGGAGGAGGAGGAGGGAGGTCCCCCCCCTATCGTTGCCCCCCAGGTACGCTGGCACTCGGGTTCGCCGACGCTTTTTTGGCGAGCTTGTCCTGCATTCAGACGGTCCAATCCTCTCTCAGGATGTCTGCAGCGGGAGCTCGCGTCGGATTTCAGACCGGGCCTCGTTAGTTTCATGATGGCCCCGTCAGGCCAACCCGAGTCCCCCGAACCCGAGTCTTACGTCTCCCCGATGGAGCACCAGCATTCGAGCCTCGTCAGGTGGCTTGCGAATGGCATCTTGGTCGCCTGGGTGAAAAAATTGGCCCGTCCACCTTGTTCGCTGGGCGGGATCTCACGCGCGGCTCGTCGGGGCTCCGTTCGCAGGTTCGCAGGCGCCCAGCATGGCTCCGAGAGGGCGCCGAGAGGCCCAGGCCGCCCAGGACTTCCCAGCACAGCCCCAGTCCACAGGTTGGCCCAACGCTGGCACGAAGATCGCCCCAAGACCGCCCCACGGCTGGCCCCAGGATCCACCCGCAGTTGACCCAGGATCCCACAGGACGGCTTGTCCATGACCCGCTCACGACTCCAAGGCCCCCTCCAAGATCCCCCATGTCCTCGCAGGCCATCCTCATCAAAGTGCAGTAGCGTGCGCTCGCGTCTCGTGGTCGATGAGAGGGCGCAGGCCTAGCTTCGATCTAGCGCCGGTGAGCGACCATCAGCGACGCTGATCGCCGGTTGGCGCCGATTCGCAAGAGCCAATGTGGGAGGCTCCCATGAGTTGTCACCGAATGATATGGCCCTCGAATCCCCGAGCGGCTTCCCGGACGACTTCCAGGGGCGCCCCGGAGAGGCTTCCCCGAGGGGGGGGGCGCCCCTGTGCAGGCACGGTGCCGTGGCGTGGCCCTGTTCTCCGCTCCAGAGTGTCCTCCAGGGCGGGCGGGCGGAGTCATCGAGGGAGGGAGAAGGGATGGCGGCGAGGCGGAAGGAAGAGCAGGAGAGGCGCCTCCTGGCGTGCGGATGCCAGGCCAGGAGGGGGGCGAGGTTGGGGGCATGGAGGGGGGCGTTGGTCGTTTTTGGGCGAGAAATCGTGGGGTCGGGGGTCCCAAGAACAGAGCTCTCCCGGGGTGCGGATGCCAGGCCAGGAGGCGGGCGAGGTGGGGGGCATGGAGGGGGAAATCGTGGGGTCGGGGGGCCCAAGGAGAGAATGATCACGAGGAGCAGGAGGAGGCGGAGGAGCGCCGGCAGCGGAAAGAGGAGGGCGAGAAGAGGCACCATGAAGAGGGCCATGTGGGGGAGGGGAGGGGAGGGCGCAGTGCGCGACCGCCCTCGGCTGTACTGTGAGTTGGGCCCACCTGGCCCGGTTGGCATGGCGCATGTGTCTAGTCGAGGTTTACCGCGGATCGGTCTCGTCCTCCTGCCGCGAGCGTTGTCGTCATTGTCGCATTCGTGTTCTTACACGTGGGGCCCAATTTCATCATCGTTGCCGCCATCGTCATGATGACACGTTTGGCCCCACGCCGTCGCCCCCCCCGGCGCAGAGTCCGTATCCGACACGAGTCTTCTTCGCCCCCCCTGCTCTCTCCCTTAGCACCCTTGTCAAAGGAAGGACCCACATGCTCACCTCCTCATCTTCCCCTCGTGCTTCGTCTCCTCTGTGAGCCATGCGCGCGCGGATGGGGATTAAGTACATGTCTGATATGAGGCTGGTTCGGGGCACATCTGGAATTTGGGCAGGCTGGTACGGCAGCACAGCTGCCTCCTTCTCCTTCCTCCTTCCTCCTTTCACGCAGAGGGGTCGACGACGTGCTCTTGTGACGGGCTGCGGCGTCCTACGCAGTAGGGCCCGTTCCGTCCCGTCCTCCACACTGTCAAGACGCTGAACATAAGGACAGCTTTGGGTTCGGAAGCGGCTCGCTGTTCCTTGGGTCATTCCCCTCATCGCGCGCGCAGGCGATGTGAGGGCCAAGAAGCCAAGAAGGGGCTTCCATCCTCATCTGTTGTTCGTTATCTCAGCAGTCTAACTGCATCCTTGTCATTGATCCAGATGCCGCAGCACATAACATGTGTTCCCACACACACACACACAACACACACAACACACACACACAACACACACAACACACACCACACAACACACACCACACAACACACCACACAACACACACCACACAACACACAACACACAACACACAACACACAGCACACAACACACAACACACAACACACAATTCACAACACAACACACAACACACAACACACAACACACAACACACAACACACAACACACAACACACTACACACAACACACAACACACAACACACAACACACAACACACAACACACAACACACAACACACAACACACAACACGCAACACGCAACACGCAACACGCAACACCCAACACACAACACACAACACACACCACGCAACACACAACACACAGCACACAACACACAATACGCACCACACAACGCACAGCACACAACACACACACACGCACGCACCACACACCACACACCACACAACACACAACACACACCACACACCACACAACACACAACACACAACATACAACACACAACACACACAGACATACAATAGCACACAGAAGACACGGCCTCGCCCGCCTACCCTGAGATAGGCCCTGTGGACGCTTGGCACTGGTGGCTCGCTCGCGCCAGTCCCTGGACCAAAAGCCTGATGGTTCTTGAACGGTGACGCGCTGATGGGTTTCCCACTTCGGCGTGTCATTCATACTCTTCCGGCACACCACCCCCACCGCCTGCACCCCTCCCTCTCCCTCCTACCTGCCCCCTCACCCTGGACCACCGCTGCCTGCCTCCCCTCCTCCCCCTCCTCCTCCTCCCTCCTTCCTCGCATCCTCCTCCTCCTCCTCCCCTCCTCCTCCCGCACCTCCTCCTCTCTCCTCCTCCTCCTCCTCCTCCTCCTCCTCTCCTCCTCCTCCTCATCCTCCTCCACATGCCTCCCTCCTCCTCCCTCCGCCTCCTCTCCCTCCCTTCTCCTCCTTCTCACATCCCTCCTACCATCTTCCTCCTCCCTCCTCCTCCTCCTCCTCGTGCCTCCGCCTCCTCCTCCTCCTCCTCCTCCTCCTCCTCCTCCTCCTCCTCCCCCTCCTCCTCCTCCTCCTCCTCCTCCCTCCTCCTCCTCGTCCCTGCGCCTCCTCCTCCTCCTCCTCCTCTTCCTCCTCCTCCTCCTCCTCCACATCCCTCCTCCTCCTCCTCCTCCTTCTCCTCCTCCTCCTCCTCCTCTCCCTCCTTCCCCTCCTTCGCTCCTCTCGTCCTCCTTCTCTTTTTTCCTCCTCTGCTCCTGCTCCTCCTCCTCCTCCTCCTCCTTGCGCCTCCTCCTCCTGCCTTCCTCCTCCTCTCCTCCTCCTCATCCTCCTCCTCCTCCCTCCTTCCTCCCCCCCAGATCCCATCCACAATCCTCCTCCTCCTCCCGCACTCCCGCCTTTTCCCCACCCCCGCGTCCTCCCTCTCCTCCTCCTCCCTCCTCCCTCCCTCCTGACACATCCATCATCCCTTCTCCTCCTCCTCCTTCTCCTCCTCCTCGCCTCCTCCTCCTCCTCCTCCTCCTCCCTCCTCCTGGCCCCCAATCCTCCTCCGGCCCTCCCCTCCTCCTCCTCGTCCCTGCCTTCTCTCTTTCTCCTCCCCCGCTCCTCCTGGCCTGCCATCCTCGGAAGAGAAAAAAAAAAAACACCTCTCCTTCCTCCTCCTCCTCCTCCTCCTCCTTCTCCTCCTCCTCCTCCTCCTCCTCCTCCTCCTCCTCCTCTTCATACTCCTTCCTTTCATTCACCCTTTTCCCGCCATCCCCAAAAAGGGCCTCGTTGAGGACGGGGAGATGACACTCTCGGACGGGCGCAGGATCCTCCGAGACCCGGGCGCTGCCGGCGAGGAAGGCGACCGGGTGATTGCGATTCATCCGGGCTTCCGCATGCTCTCCAGGGGGGGGGGGGGGGGCGAGTCGTGCTCGGGGAGGAGGGAGGAGGAGGAAGGAGGGAGGAAGGAGGCAGGAGGGAGGAGGGAGGGATGAGGATCAGTGGGAGAAGGGAGGAAGGATTGGATTGGATTGGATAGGTGCGCTCCCAGTGAGCTGGCGGCAGAAGCGTCGGACGCAGCGTCCTTTGAGCCAGAGGCCACGACCCGGAGAGGGTTCGGTAGCGGAGGGAGGGAGGGAGGGACGGAGGGAGGGAGGAGGAGGAGGAGGATGAGGAGGGGAGGAGGAGGAGGAGGAGACGAGGAGGGGGAGGAGGCGAGGAGAGGAGGGGAGGAGGAGAGGGGGAGGGGGAGGAGGAGGAGAGGAGGAGAGGAGAGGAGGAGGAGGAGGAGGAGGAGGAGGAGGGAGGAGGAGGAGAGGAGGAGGAGGAGAGTAGGAGGAGGGGGGGAGGAGGAGGAGGAGGAGGAGGACGAGGAGGGTTGGTGGGATGCGGCATTGCAGCAGTCTGTGTGCGGATCCTTGGTTGAGTCTTACCGCCCGCTCTTGCCCCCGAAGCGAAGGGGGGTACCCACCACTGAGACACTAGGCGGCCCAAAGCACGCAACCGACAAGTCGAGTGGAACTGCGACAGCCAAGATAATGAGAAAACAACACGATGCAAACAACTCGCCGCATACACGCGAACAGTGCAGCGTTGTCAGGAATGCGCCCTCGAAGCTCAGGTCTGGAGAGCAAACGCGGCACCACTGTGAAGGAGAAAGTGCCAATGACAGCCCCATCAAAAATCAACTACAGCTGCACACCACAATGTGGACGGATCCAGGGTCGGCGCCGTCGGGCTCGCTAGAGTCCCGGAGGCCGCCACCCGCGGATAGGTCGGCACATCCGAAACGTCCAGCCGCGTGCGTCTCGCAGGCTCGGTGTGCCACAAACGCATGCGATGCTCCGCAGAGCGAGTCCACGCAGCAGAGCGATGTAACTGAGTATCGTCATGGAGTGCTTTCAGAATGTCCTGGAGGCCGCTACTCGCAGATCGGTCGGCACAGCCAAGAGGACCATCCTCTGCGCCAGCCGCGGCCCTGATGTGCCACAGAGCCGGCGCGTCGCGCAGCACAGTGCGAGGAAGGAACCGCGCCTCGAGTGCAACCGCCTCGTTGCGAAACGAGCCGGGGCTGGCGTTGCGCGCGCGGGCGACCCCCCTTGGCCCTCCTCCCCCTTTCCCCTCTCGCCCCTCCCCCCTCGCGCGCTCTCTGGTCGTTGTCGTCGTCGCCCCTCCTTCGTCCGTCGTCCGCCGTGCCACTGGGCTCCTTCGTGCAGGTAAAAAAAGAAAGTGACCGGCTCGCCCACGAGCGGCACCAC